ATATATATATATATGTGTGTATATATGTTTATATATATATATATATGTGTATATATATATATATATATGGTATCAGACCATCTCTACTGTTTATCAGACAAAATAATCCACTGGAAGACTTCACCTCGAGCTCAGGGGAGTTGTGATGTTGAGGCTGTTTGCTGCTTCCTGACATTTTATTGTCCTGATAATGAATCCAAAAAACAGTTGACAGATAATTGTTATTCAGATACTCTGACACATGAAATCTTTGTTTGTTTTTTTTTTACTTTTCCCCTCCAGAGCAACCCTCCGCTGACTGAAATGGACCCCACCCTGCCACCTGCCAGCCAGCCCAGTGACCTTTTAATGAAGCCTCCCGCTGACATCATGAATGAGCCCTTAATTCAGCCTGTTAGCATCCAAACAGAAAACAAAGCGACCATAGCTGTCAGCGAATCCCCGGATGACTTTGTCGACCTAACAAACAACTTAACCGACTCTCCCGATGACACAGTCGCACTTGAAAGTGCCGTTGCAGACGCAGCAAAACACACAACTGAAATCCCTTCAGATGAACCCACAGATGATTTTGTCAACATATTTGGAAGTGAAACCGAGGCACCGCAAGAGGAAGTTGTGGTAGCAGATGTTACTGTCGAAGGAGCAGCAGATAAAAGCGAAGTGACCGGCGCTGTTACAGATTCACCTGCCGATGAGAAAACGGGAAGTGATGCCGAACACGAAGCAAAAGAAATCGCTCCAATTATCGACCTGAGTGTGGATTTGTCAGCCAGTGACACACAACAGCCGCGTGGCGTTGACACATTTGTCGACCCTTTGGTTGACCTTCTCAGTGACGCTCCACCCGCTGCTGATGCCACGAAGCCCAGCCGGGCAACAGTCGACCTGTTCGAAGATGAGGGAAGCGACTTGTTCACAGAACCGCGGCAGTCTAAATCTGCCAAGCAGCCACAGAAAAGCCTCTTCGGTGAACCCGACGAGGATCTGTTCGGTGAGCCGCTGGGTGCCACCGCAAAGAAAACCGTCATCAAAGAGCAGAAGGACAAAACCGTTCTAACCAAAGCTGCTGAGGATGGCAGCAACACAGGCGGGCCTCTGCAAGACAGCAATCCTGCAGAACCTGCTGATCTGTTCTCTGAGGAAGCCGTCACCTCAGCGCCCAGCATTAGAAACACCAGCACGGTCAACTCCAAGACCAACGGAGTCCACTCTGAGGAGGAGACAGATATATTTGCTGGTGGGTCCACTGTTTTTTTTTTTATATTACGTCACATTCAGAGGTTGGTTTCTGTTTAGTTTCAATAAGCATTTTATTAGAAGTAGAAACATAACCTCAGCCAGCTACAATACCACACATCATTGGTCATATCAGCGGTTCCAGTGTGTTCTTGTTTTTCCCAGTGTTTGTTTTTTGCAGGTATGTTTGTCTTTATTAAATAGTGGATACCAGAAGGTTGCCAGGAAATGTAAGGAGACAGATGGAGGATAACACGCAGCAAAGGTTCACTGCCAGACTCAAACCAGGGATTCATTTCATGGTCGACGATTTTTTATTTTTTTTTATTTTTAGGCTTGTAGTCGGCAGCCCCAACTGACGCTGATTCAGGTGACATGGCTCGAGGACGTTGATCAGATTTCAGCTTCCTCTGCAGCCGCGAGAGGCTTTATACGACTTTGTTTTACATTTGCAGAAGCACTGCTCAGCACCTTTAACAGACTCTGCTGTGCACAAACAGGGAGTTCCTGTTTAACTGATATAAACAATAGAAAAGATAAAGTACCATAAACACAAGAGTCACATTGATGGTGCTGGACTGGAATTGTGTTTGTTTCTATTTCCCTTTATGGCAAAATGTGTCGTTTTTCCTCCATTGCAGGTCAGTTAAACTCTAATAAATAAGGCACTTGTGACGTTAGTTACAACAAGCACAAAACAGACAAGCTGTAGGTATTTAGAGTCAAAGTCTGTGAACATTTGTGGTCAGGTCGAGATAAAAAATTATCATCACATCCAGATACAAACAAGGTGTCTGTTACAATGAACTCCTTAGTGTGCTGATTATCATACAGAGAAAAGTTGATGCAAAATAGTATCTAATAAAAACACAGCTCTAAGACAGGTGGTAATCCAGTACACTGTCAACACAACCTTTATTAAAGGAACAAACATGCAGGAGTGCAACACTTGTACAGCAGCCTGCAGCTCAGATAGTGGAGGTGTTGGTGGTTTAAATCCACACTCCTTCTGTCCTGTCAGTGTCAGTGTCCTCTAATAAGACACTAAATGCCAAATTACTCCAGTGGGAGAATGTGTAAAATAATTAAATATAAAGGTTAAAAAATAAATGAGACTTGGATGAATAAAACTAGAATAAAATAAATACAAAAATCATACCTGTATATTACACAAAATGTATAATAAAATGCTGTCTCTGTTTCTTTGTTCACATTCAGAACCTGTGAATTTGCCAGCAAAAAAATATAAGAAATTAAAATCTAATGTGTGTGTGTAATCTATGTTATGTATAAAACATTTTCCACCACGTTGACAGCTGATGTAAATACATTAGACTTATATATAGACTCATAACAAGTCCAGGTTGTAAAGTGAACAATGGTCATCTTTTACACATTTCCATTCAGCTTGTAATGACCACAGTGTGGTTTCTTTTTTGGTTTCTTTTCCTCTCTAACAGAAGCCACAGTGGAGCTTTCTCTTGACAGTCCTCGGGACGAGAGAAAGAAGGATGCGACAGCCAAACCGTCTGTGTCCGCCCCCTCTCTGTCAGCCGCTGCCAGCCTGACCAAGCCACAGTCTGCTGCCCTGGAGGAGGTACGCACATTTCTAATCTCAGAGTGAAATCCCCAGTGTGAATGCAACAAAGTGATGACTGAAAACTGTTCAAGAACAGGGATTCGCTGTTTTATTTCTTATATATTTTATGGAATATCCGAATTGTAAGAAGGAGTCAGTGAATTCATGTCAAAATTAAACCGTTTCTCCAAAAATTCCCAAATCTGCTGTTAAAAAGTCATTCACTGCAACAGGGCCGTTTTTCACTTTCTCTTCAATATTTCAGTTGGAAGAAGAGGAAGAAGAAGAGCTGGAAGACAAATTTGACATTTTTGTTTCCGTCAAAGACCCTGAAAAAATAGGTAAGGGTTATTATTTTAATTCTGTTTTGAATAAATGTATCTGGGTTTATTCAGTCAGTTGCAGTACGGATACACGTTGTTTTAGGCACCATAAACATAAAGTATGTGGGAGGGGGATTTGCACTGACTCAGAATAACTAAATGTCTTCCTTTCAGGAGATGGAATGAACGCCTACATGGCCTACAAAGTATCCACAGAGGTAAACACTTGCGAATATGCACTTTTATGAAGTCGTTCATCTTAAATCTAAAAGGAAGTTAGGACAGTTACTCATCAGATGTGTGCAAAGAGAGGAAAGACTGTGAATCGTAGGAGAAACGCCCATGCTCTGGTCCTGACACGACGACATCGATTATGTCAGAACTTTATAGTAGTTATTCTGTGTGTAAAATCCAAAAACATATAAGTATAGGTAATAACTGTAACTCTGTGTGAACTCTGTTTCAGACCTCAATGCCCATGTTCCGCAACAAGACATTCACAGTGCGGCGACGCTTCAGCGACTTTCTCGGCCTCTACGAGAAGCTTTCTGAAAAACATGGACCGAATGGATTCATCGTGCCTCCGCCACCAGAGAAGAGCATCCTGGGTAGGCTGCCTGGCTTTACTGTTTCCTTTGACATACTGTTACTATAAATCTTATCTCCATCAGCTATAAGAAGGGCTGTTGTGTTGCACAGGTATGACAAAGGTCAAAGTGGGAAAGGAAGACTCCTCATCTGCAGACTTTGTTGAGAGAAGAAGAGGTGCTTTGGAGAGGTAAGAGTGAAGCTGTTAGTGTTCGGAGAGAACTATTCCTGTCTTTCACATCTGAAACTCAAATCTCCACTAAACCGTCAAGCTGTTGTGATGTTGCCCTGTCCATAGAAAGCAGGATAGTGAGGATGTTTTTTCCCCATTCTACAGGTATCTCCAGAGGGTGGTAAATCACCCATCACTTCTCCAAGATCCAGACGTCAGGGAGTTCCTGGAGAGAGAAGAAGTAAGTGAAAATTGAGTTTGGAGAGTCTCGGTCCTGAAAGCCTTTTTATAGGACAGTAGTTTTGAAATACTAAATACTCTTAAATACCATAAACCCGTCGGTCACACAAATGCTCCACATAATAACTGGCTGATTCTTAATAAGATCTAGAAATCTGTTCAAATTGAGGAAATACTGTCAGGTGGAAGCATTGTTCCTCTGCCATTTGCTTCTGTTTGATCCCTTTGTGTATCTAAAGTTTTATTGCTGTATTATAATGTGTCTGTGTCTGTGTGTGTG